TCGTGGGGATCATCGCGACTGTGGTGGTGGCCAGCGTCCGCCACAAGCCTCGGAAGGTGCGGTGCTGACACTATTTTTCTAGGCGTTTTTTTTGTTGTTGTTATTGAGAGAGAGAAAGAGAAAGAATGAGAGAGAGAGAGAGAGAGAGAAGAAAGAGAGAGAGAGAGAGAGAGAGAGAGAGAGAGAGAGAGAGAGAGAGAGAGAGAGAGAGAGAGAGAAGAGAGAGAGAGAGAGAGAGAGAGAGAGAGAGAGAGAGGAAGAAGAGAGCGTTAGCGTTAGCGTTATCATTAGCACGTTTTTGTTAGCATGGAGAGAAAAGAAATGTAAAGACACACAGGACATAGCTAATATATTAAGAAAGCGATAATCACTTTTGGGAACAGAAGAGGAAGATGCAACTGACCTTCGAAGACGCCGCGCCCCAGGAATACGTGCCCTTCCTGTCGGGGCCGGAGGCGACGGTCATCGACGAGGCCGAGGAGGACGCTATACAGGTCAGAGGATTCGGTAATCTTGTTCTCTCTCTTTCTCTCTCTCTCTCTCTTTCACTCTCTCTTCTCTTCTTTCCACTCTCTCTCTCTTCCTCTCACTCTCTCTCTCTCATCGAATCCTGAAACGTGAAAGAATACGATTCGTTTGCAGAATCCTTTTGCGAATTCTGTAACAAGTCCTGCCCTGTGCATCCGCAGGAGGAACCGACGCTGTGGGAGGCGGTGAAGTCAGGCGACGTGGACGCGGTGGAGGCTCTGCTGGACGAAGGATTCCACCCCGATGATGTGGAGGAAGGCAGGGAAATCACGCCTATCCTGGATGCTCATTTCCTGGGCTTCAAGGACGTGCTCGACCTCATGCTCAAATACAAGGGGGAAAGGGCTACACTTCCCACTGAGGATCTTATCAAGTCTATCGTCAACGTAAGATTTAAAATGGCTTTCTTGTTGCATCTCGCTCGCTGTTCTTTCGCGGTTATGGCTGACGCCCAAATCTAATTATAAAGGCCTATCACACAAGCACTTTTTCCGTCAATTTCTGGGGTTCCGTCTGAATTTGAGGCTTTCCGCAAGGATCGTCTACAAACGGAACGCCTCCCAGACCAAGACGGTTACGACCGTTTCCGTCTGACTAATTTCCATTTTGATCTTGTGCTATTAATGAATTAGATAGGATGAGTGAATACAAACATAAACTAATATTTTAGAACATTCGTATATACAATATACATCATCATATTTCTTTAAAATAACGTAACGATAGCGCCATGTTTGTTTACATGATTTTCATACGTTCATTCGGAAAGCAAAAAAATGACGGAAAAAGTGCTAGTGTGATAGGGCCTTAATTATAAGAGGATTCTAAGACTCTATATCCGCCTCCTCCTTTGTTCCTCCCTTACCAAGTTGTTTTGCTCAGCGACGGTTCATTATCGTCTTTTTATATTTCTTTAAATTTCAAACCCCAAGGAGCTGGAGACCCGGATGAAGGAGGTGTTCGTGGCGGCGGAATGCGGGATGTACGAACGAGAGCGCGGAGTGCATCAGCTGCTGGACACCCACATGCTGCCGGCCACGATCACAGACCACATGGGCCGCTCACTCATCCACTACATCACTTCTACAACCGTCATGGATGGGAGGCCACCCTGGGCACCCAAAGACGTCAAGAGATTCCTAAACGAACACAAATACTTCATCAATGCAGTCGATCACTGGGGTAAGATTAGCGTTTACAGCATTTTCTGCTTATCCGTCTATCTTTCCACTCCCATATGTCTGAAATTTAAAATCGTACGTACGTAAATCTCGCACGCCTACTCCCAGGACGCACGGCTCTGCACCAAGTGGCGGAGCACCCGAGGACGGCAGAGATGGACGTCATCTGGGAGGGAAAGGAGTGGGGCGTGTCGGAGGCGTGGCTGGAACTCACCAAGATCCTCCTTGGCTACGGATGCGACCCGAGGATACCCGATCACCGAGGGATCCTGCCGCACCAGCTGGCCACACACGCAGGGAATCACCAGATGGCACAGCTGCTGGAGGATGTGAGGCATAATCAAGATTTCGTTATTCGGTCATCCTTCTTAGAGCACTTGAACTAGAGGATTGGTGACACACTTCGGCCCTTAATATATGTTAGGCAAATGCTTGTTAAAAAATAGTTTCGATTGCAACAATAGAGGTCTAAGGATATAGTTCGTTTGATGGAAATGTTAGATGTGGATACTGAACATTATGTTGGCGCTTAAAGTTAGCAGCTCCATGTGCTCACAATATTTGGGTGTGATCCGCAGATGAGTGAGAAGTTGGGGCCGTTGCAAGAACCGACCATTGAACAGCATGAGGAGCTGGTGACGGCCTGTCGGATGGGCGACACGTCTAGGATCCGCAAGCTGCTGAGACTGAACGTACCCGTCCTGCCGATGTACGCCCGCGCCGACCCCCTCCGCGAGGCCATCCGGCACCACCAGAGGGACGTTCTGCTCCTGCTGCTGAGTGCGGGGGCG